TCAGTTGAGCTAGATGTTCCCCAAGACCATGGTCCCCACAGCCCTCCACCCAGCAATTCAGTCCCTCAGGGAGTTTGGATGTGTCTGTGGAGCTTCCATGACTGTCTTAGTTATCTAGTGCTGCTTATAACAGAAATACCACAAGTGGATGGTTTTAACAAAGAGAAATTTATTTCTTCACAGTAAAGTAGGCTAAAAGTACAAATTCAGGGTGTCAGCTCCAGGGGAAGGCTTTCCGTCTCTCAGCCTTCTCATCAGTGTGTCCCTGGACTAGCAGCGTCTCTGCACAGGGACCCCGGTCCAAAGGACGCACTCTGCTTTTGGCACTGCTTTCTTGATGGTATGAGGTCGCCCTGTCTCACTGCTCACTTCTGTCTTTTATATCTCAAGAGACTGCCTCAGGACACAATCCAGTCTTGTAGATCCAGTCCTGCCTTACTAACACAACTGCCACCCATCCTCCCTCACTAACATCATAGAGGCAGGTTTACAACATACAGGAAAATCACACAGTACCAGGAATCATGGCCTAGCCAAATTGATACACACATTTTTTGGGGGACATAATTCAAACTATGACAATGACCTTTCCTTGTACAAGTTGTGCTGCTGGCTTACCCAGTATTGTGTACTGTCTTACCCTTCACCAAAGTTACCACTTATCTATTGTCTATTTAGTCCCCGCCCCACCATCCCTGGTAACCAACAAAGATTGTTTCTTTTTGTGTGTAAACTACTACATGAGTTTTTACAGTAGAGGTCTCATACAATATTTGTCCCTTTGTGACTGACTTATTTCACTCAGTATAATGTTCTCCAGTTTCATCCATGTTATGAGATGCTTCACAGATTCATCATTGTTCTTTACCATTGCATAATACTCCATTGTGTGTATGTACCAGTTTGTTTATCCATTCATCTACTGATGGGCATGTATGTTGTTTCCATGTTTTTGCTATTGTGAACAGTGCTGCAGTGAATATGGGTGTGCATGTATCTATTCTTGTAACAGCTCTTATTTCTCTAGGGTATATTCCTAGGAGTGGGATTGCTGGATCGTAAGGTATTTCTATTTCTAGCTTTCTAAGGAAGTGCCATATTGTTTTCCAAAATGGTTGTATGGTAGTTTTTATCTTTAATGTTTCTACATTTAATAACCTATTTATATACTTTGAGTGGAACTTTAAAATAGATGCTACAGGGGAGAGAAGAGGACTAAAAAAAAGAGAAGGCATGCTTCTTCCCACATTCTTAATTAGGAAGAGAATTAATGTTTCTACAGTTGCGGAAATCTCTAGATTTAAAAGTAGGTTTTGATTATTGTTGTAGTAGTTTGGTATAGTTGTTGGTAGAAGTCAAAGAGTACACCTCTCTCCCTTGGACGGAAATCTTTTTGAGGACTATTCCATAACATTAGAGTTTGCTTTTATGTTCATATGCCCCAGAACTGTCAAAATTGATAGTCTTCATTAAAAACCCTCTGTCCCAGATGTAAATCCATCCACCTGTTGTCAGCTGATCTTTGACAAAGGACTAAAGTCCATTAAATGGGGAAAAGACAGTCTTTTTAACAAATGGTGCTGGCAAAACTGTATGTCCATCTGTAAAAAAATGAAACAGGATCCATACCTCACACCATATACAAAAGCTAACTCAGAATAGATCAAAAACCTAAATATAAAATCAAAAACGATTAAGATCATGGAAGAAGAAATAGGGACAATGCTAAGAGCCCTAATAAGTGATATAAAGAAAATACTAACTAACTAAAAATGCACAAACACTAGAAGAGAAACTGTGTGTCATAGATTGAATTGTGTCTCCCAAAAATGTATCAGTTTGGCTGGGCCATGATTTCCAGTATTTTGTGGTTGTCCTCCATTTTGTGATTTAATTTTATGTTAAAGAGGATGAGGGTGGGATTGTAACACCCTTACTAAGGTCACATCCCTGATCCAGTGTAAAGGGAGTTTCCCTGGGGTGTGGTCTGCACCACCTTTTATCTTACAAGAGATAAAAGGAAAGGGAAGCAAGCAGAGAGGTGGGAACCTTATATCATCAAGAAGGCAGTGCCGGGAGCAGAACCCGTCCTTTGGACCTGAGGTTCCTGTGCTGAGATGCTCCCAGACCAAGGGAAGACTGATGCATCACGAGGACCTTCCTCCAGAGCTGACAGAGAGAGAAGGCCTTCCCCTGGAGCTGATGCCTTGAATTTGGACTTGTAGCCTACTAGACTGTGAGAGAATAAATTTCTCTTTGTTAAAACCATCCATTTGTGGTATTTCTGTTATAGCAGCACTAGATGACTAAGACACTAGATAACTGGGAGCTCCTAAAAATTAAATACTTATGCTCATCAAAAGACTTCACCGAAAGAATAAAAAGAGAACCTACAGACTGTAGAAAAAAAAAAATTTGGCTATGACATATCTGACAAGGGTCTAATGCCTAAAATCTATAGAACATTTCAGCACCTCAATAACAAAAAGACAAACAATCCAATTAAAAAATGAGCAAAGGATATGAACAGACACTTCACCAAAGAAGACATTCAGGAGGCTAACAGACACAAGAGGAAATGCTCACAATCATTAGCCATTAGAGAAATGCAAATCAAAACTACAGTGAGATACCATCTCATTACTGGCACTAATTTAAAAAAAAAGAAAATAACAAATGTTGGAGAGGTTGCTGGAGATTGGAACCCTCATACGCTGTTGGTGGGAACATAAAATGGTAAATTACTATGGAAGACTATATGATGCTTCCTCAAAAAGCTAGAAATAGAAATACCATAATATCCATCAATCCCACTCCTAGGAGTATATCCTAGAGAAATAAGAGCTGTTACACAAATAGACATGCACCCCCATGTTCATTGCCGCATTACTCACAATAGCAAAAAGATGAAAACAACCTAAGTGCCCTTCAACAGGTGAATGGATAAACAAATTATGGTACATACACACCATGGAATACTATGCAATGATAAAGAACAGTGATGAATTCATCACAACATGGATGAATCTGGAGGGCATTATGCTGAGTGAAATAAGTCAATCATAGAAGGGCAAATATTGTATGAGAACACTATTATAAAACAAAGAAAAGGTTTACACGCAGAGAAAAACAATCTTTGAGGGAGGGGAAGGAAGGGAAGGGGAAATAATTAAGTAGATAGTAGAACCCAGCCTGTTGCCGTTGAGTCGATTCCAACTCATAGCAACCCTATAGGACAGAGTAGAACTGCCCCATAGGGCTCCAACGAGCAGCTGGTAGATTCAAACTACCGACCTTTTTTGGTTAGCAGCCATGCTCTTAACCACTGCACCACCAGGGCTCCAACTAGATAGTAGACAAGTGTTAACTTTGGTGAAGGGAAAGATAAAATACAATATAGGGGAAATCAGCACAACTTGACCAAGGCAAAGCCATAGAAGCTTCCTAGACGCATCCAAACACCTTGAGGGACCAAGTTACTGGGACTGAGGACTGGGGACCATGGTCTCGGGGGGCATCTAGGTCAATTGACATAACATAGTTCATAAAGAAAATGTTCTACATCCTACTTTGGTGAGTAGCATCTGGGGTCTTAAGAGCTTGTGAGCAGCCATCTAAAATACATTTGTTGGTCCTACTACATTCAGAGCAAAGGAGAATGAAGAAAACCAAAGACACAAGGAAAGTATTAGTCCAGAGGACTAATGGACCACATGAACCACAGCCTCCACCAGCCTGAGCCCAGAAGAACTAGATGGTACCTGGCTACCACCACTGATCACTGTGACGGATCACAACAGAGAGTCCCGGACAGAACGGGAGAAAAATGTAGAACAAAATTCAAATTCACAAAAAAAGACCAGACTTAATGGTCTCAGGAACCCCTGAGACTATGGCTCCCAGACATCCTGCTAACTCAGAACTGAAGCCACTCCTGAAGTCCACCTTTCAGCCAAAGATTAGACAGGCCTATAAAACAAACAGTAACACATGTGAGGAATGTGCATCTTAGTTCGATCAAGTATGTGAGACCAAATGTGCAACACCTGCCCAGAAGCAAAGACCAAGGCAGGAAGGGACAGGAAAACTGGATCAGTGGACACGGAGAACCCAGGGTGGAAAGGGAAAAAGGGTGAGTGCTGACATATAGTAGGGATTGCTACCAATGTCACAAAACAATTTATGTATGAATTTTTGAATGAGAAACTAATTTGTGCTGTAAACTTTCACCTAAAACACAATAAAATTTTAAAAAACCAAACCTTATATTTTGAATAGCAAAAGGAAACAAAAGAGGTATGTACACTAAAATTTAAGGCATATTAAAGTTTTTTTATGTATATATTTGAATATATTAAAGTAAAATTTCTAGGTAAATGACAAAAAAAATTTTAACTCACTTAAGATGAACTCAAGATTAAGCAATCAAGTATCAAAGAACCAAGAGCTGGCTCACAATTTTCATTAAAATCTTTTTTCAGAACTATAAAAAAAAAGGTCTTTGTACTTTTATATAATTGATTTCTTACAAATCACATCAGTAAGAGATAAAGAAAAAAAGAAGCATGAATAGCTCACTAGATGTGAAGTCAAATCCATAGTTCTAAGTTAAACATGAGAACTAAAAAAGTAGTATTTGCTGATTTCCAGATAACTATCTAATAGGTTGGGAAGTGCTTTCTGTAATTTAACTTATTTGACTAGACTTCCTTATTTATGAGAGAAAGATAAGGGAGAAAGTTACTATATGATTTCAGAAATATTTATTTACTTAATATTACTAACTTGATGTTTTATCCCGTTATTAATGCTCTGTGTTCATGTGTGTTCTGTGCAGATTGTTGGAGAAGCTCTTAGTCTGCTTGCAGTGGGGAAGAGAGCAGAGTTACTACCCTAATGCACAACCCCACAGCACAGCAGAACTAGCATTAACAAATCACAAGTTGGCAAAAGCAGTGAATTCTCATCTTCTTGGAAATGTTGGAGCTAACGATCAAAAAAAGATTCCTTCAACAGGTGAATTTTGCAGCACCCCAGCTGAAAAAATGGCTGAAACGGTAAAATACTTTTTTCTTTCATGATCTGTGGAACTCCAAAGGCTTTCCTCTACTGAAAGATGACATGGTATAATGGAAAGTGCTTAGTGTTGGGGGTTAGGAAATGAAGGGTCGCTATGAGCCAGAATAGACTAGACAGCAGTGGGTTTTTTGCAGTGGGTAAACCTGACTCACACTAAGGAACTTGTGATCTTAGAGAAAACTGTTTCCTCCTCTGAGCTTTAATTTTCATTAACATTATTAGTTATTCTTAAGGAGAAAAGAAATGTAATTGTTTTGAAGGAGGGCCTATTTTTCAGCTACTGAATCATTGGTAATGAGTTTCTTGAGAAACCACTGTGTAGATTTCATAATTAGTAATCATGAGTAGGTAATAGATTACTTTTGACCTAAGAAATTATTTGTTAATTTATGCATATAGATGGGAATGTGCTGAATACTACAGAATCAAATAGTGTACACCTGGTTACTACTATCTTGGATGAACTCAGGGTCCATGCAGATCACCTGTCAAATACAGTGTTCTCACAGTTCAGAGACCACAGTCAGGTTCACCTCCACTACACTTCAACAACTGACTCTCCCCATCTTGGGCCTTGTACTCACCAGAACTGTTCCACTTTAAAATTTTTCAACTCAGTATCTCTGTCCATGATCTTTGATCTCAACTTCTTTTCTTTCCAACTCTTGTTCTTTCATTCTGACTACTCCTGTTTCTTGACTATGTCTTTTTATGTTTCCTCAAGGTCTGAAATAATCCTTTCCACATAGTAGGTGCTCAGCTATTAATTGAAGGAATCAATATCTAAAACTGAATTCATTGTCTTTATCCAAAAACCTGTTCCTTCTTTTCTATTCTCTGTTGAAAAACCATATCACCACCTTCTCAGATGCTGCCAGTAGCATTCAGTGTAGTTAACTAGTCCTTCTTTCTTAAAGCACTCTCTTCTTTTGGCCTATGTAACCCTCCACCTTCCTGGCTTTTTTCTTTTCTGTGACCATTCTTTTTCACTATACAATGTTGGGTATCCTCCAGGCTTGGTTTAGATCACCTTCTTCCATTATATATTCTCACTGAAAGGCCTTACCTGTGTTCATGGCTGTAGTTCTCCCTATAGATGTACAATTCTGAAATTAGTTTCAGCCCTGATCCCTTATGAGTTCTAGACACGCTTAACTACAGCCTGCACACCACCACCTCCATTTGGGTGCCACGGAATCATCTGAAACTCAACATATCTAAAACAAATTTCTCTCTCTCCTAAATCTGCTGCTTCTGTAGTTTTCTACATCTGATGATAGTACCATCATCCATACTACTGTTCATCCCACAGATATAGGAGTCTTCCTTGATACCGCTCTCTCCCCTCAGTCTGAAAATCATCAAATCTTGTCAATTATAGTCCTAAATAACCCTTGAGTCTATTCTCTATCCATCTTCATTAATCTAATTGACCACTCTCTTTTGCCTTTGTTACCAATTGCTTCCTAACTGATCTCTCTGCATCAGGAAAATAGGGAAAAGGAAAAGTGAGAGGAGGAGAAGAATTGGGAGAGCATGGTATCATGGAACCCAAGAACAAGGATATGGTTGTTAGCATGAGATAGTGCAGGTGAATTTAAAAATGGATATTAAAAGCCATTGGTTTTCCAAATAAAAAGCGATCAAAGACTTTGAAATATCCATTTCAGTAGAAAAATATGGCAGAATCCTGATTACAAGTAGTTGAAAGACTAAAGAAAAGAAGCAGTGAGTATTTTTTGCTTAAGGTTAAAAATTAACATCATTTAAGGTAGAATTGATGTAACCTTATTTTCTTCTACATACTCGTGCTTTTCCATAAATATGCATAAGAGAGTATTAATTTTATCATTATAAAAAATAGGTAACCCAGGTAATGCTGTAGACATCGTTAGATTTCGGACTTTTTGAGCAAAGGCACCAATTCTCTTCTCAATCAAATTCATCATTCATATGTTATTTTTTATGATAGTTACATATTAATGAAATGACTATACCAATGAAACTGTATACAGCTGCTCCTAACTTATTGAATATCTCATTATCTGAAATTTCACATTTACAACAATAGTAAAAAATGTACTATCCGACTATTTTACACATTAGCAATGTACATCTGGCAGTAACAAATGCTGAGATGTGAGGCGAGAGTAATGTTGGCTGTGATGGTTAAGGTTATGTGTCAGCTTGGCTGGGCCATGATTCCCATGGTTTGGCAGTTATGTAATGATGTAATTTGACAGTTATATAATGATATAATCATCCTTCATTTGTGATCTGATGAGGTCATCCTCCATTTTCACATAATATCAATTTTTGCATAATGACCTGGTCTTTGGGACTTAACCATGTCAATAAGTGAGGAGTGGGTATGTACCTACATACATAATATATTACCCGTTGCCATCGAGTCGATTCCGACTCATAGAGACTCTGTAGGTCAGAGTAGAACTGCCCCATAGGGCTTCCAAGGAGCAGCTGGTGGATTCAAACTGCTGACCTTTGGTTAGTGCCATAGATCTTAACCACTGCACCACCAGGGCCTTTACATCATATGTACACACACACATACACACACACACACACATATATATATATATATATTTATATATATAAAGCTCATTGCTGTCAAGTAGATTCTGACTCATAGCAACCCCATGTGTTACAGAGTAGAATTGCTCCATAGGGTCTTTACAGAAGCAGTTCACCATGCCTTTCTTCTATGCCACTGGGTGTGTTTGAACTGACAACCTTTAGGTTAGTCGTCTCAGATATAGACATATGTGTATGTGTGTGTGTGTGTGTGTATACACATGATACCCACTCCTCACTATCAACATGGTTAGGTTCCAAAGACCAGGTCTTTATGTAAAAATCGGCATTATGCAAAAATAGAAGATGACCACATCAGATCACAAAATGGAGTGTGACTACATCATTACATTATTGCCAAATTACATCATTACATCACTGCCAAATCACATCATTACACAACTGCCAAACCACTAAGAATCGTGGCCCAGCCAAGTTGACACATAACCTTAACCATCACAACCAACATTACTCTGCCTCACGCCTCAGCATTCATTACTGCCAGACATATGTCGTTAATGCGCTAATAGTTGATTTTTTACTATCATCGTAAATGTGAAATGTCAGATAATGAGATAGTCAATAAGTGAGGAGTAGGGGTGTGTGTGTGTATATATATATATGCTAAAAGTTGAGGTTTACAGGGGTTTTACAGCTGTAGTGTTAAAACATATATCTGACCTTATTTTTTTTCCCTTAGATTCTACGCATTTTGGATCCTGTTGCCTGTACAGAGAACTCACCTGAGAGTCCATTTTCTGAGTCTTCACCAACTACCTTACTTGCTACAAAGAAAAACATTGGACGATTTCATCCCTATACTAGATATGAAAATATAACTTTCAATTGCTGCAATCACTGCCAGGGAGAACTTATTGCCCTTTAACATTCAACATGTTGGAGACGTGCTACAGGCACTTACTTATTACCGAAGAGTCATTATTATTTGGGAGCTAGGGTTCTTACAATGCTAGAAGGTAATATCACTTTCTATTTAAATAACATATATCTCCAAAGACATTTGATGTATTGAACTCCAGATTACCCTTTCTTAATAAATATCTCAGGGTAAGAAAAGAATAAAACTGTGTAAATATATTTACACTAGAGAATACTTCTCAGGCAATACCCTATACATTTCCTAAAGGACTCTGAAAGATAAAAATTCTGTATCTCCCCCTTAGGCCCTAAATTATTATTTATCTTGCTGGATACTTTATATGAACAGGTTTAATTTTGGTACTCTAAAGTAGGGATTGGCAAACGATGGCCATGGGTGAAACCTGACCACATGCGTTCATTTACTATCTATGGCTGCCTTTGCAGTACGAGAGCAGAGTTGAGTAGATCCAACAGGGTTTGTAAGGTCTGCGAATCCCAAAATATTTACAGTCCGTCCCTTTACAGAAAAAGTTATCTGATCCTTACTGTAAAGTAACAATAGCTGGAGGAGGTTTCTTTCCCTTTTCGGTGATTTTTTTGTGGGCTACTGAAATACTAGAGGCCAAGGGACTAATATTTTAAAAATAAATGTTATCTATTAGGAGAAGTATTTTAGAGCCAAATTAGCAAGTGCTTCAGCAAAACATGTTCTTTTGTTGGTTTTGTGCTGAGGTTTCTGTATCCTGAATGTACACTACCTGACACAAAAGCATACTTTAACTATTGAGCTTATTTTGGCAAATACAACACACAACAGGCATATCCAACTTGATATTTATAAAATATGGTGAAGTTAGAATTAGAACATTCTGTGAACTCAAAGAAAAAATGCAGTGTCAGTTAGTGTACTGTATTTTCATGCAGATAATGCACGCCTTCTACATTTGTTTGCCAACTGTACCCTCCCCTCACAAGGTATTTTCGTAAGCACGCTATGCTGATTTTTTTACAGCAACATGTTGGTGCTTATGAAAATAGCTTGTAGGGGGAGGGCACAACGGTTGGCAAACAAACATAGAAGCTGTGTGTTGTTTGCACAAAAAATACAGTATATTATTCTAACTTATAGGCCTTTAAAATATCCCCAGAATAATTACATCAAAACATTAATTAGTCATAGAAGTGCCTGTCAGTAATGAAATCTTCAAAAGATAAATCTGGTCAAATAATATATTTTAATGACTTTTTTTTTTGGCTGATTCATCTGGGTGATATTTATAGTTTCAAATGGCAATAAATTTTTCTACCTCCTTTATTGTGAATATTCCTTTTCTCCCTAACCCCCCCGCCCCTGACAAATGTTGTGCTTTGGTTCAAGTCTTCCATCTAGCTTATACTATTTACAATTGACTCTTCAACCTTTTCCTTGAGGTTTACTTATTTTTCCCATCTGGTGATTATAGTTGCTTAGGCTATACACATCCTTGGTAATTTGGCTATTAAAACAATATATTATAGTAGAAAAGACACTACAGATACAACTCACTGAAAAAATAGTTACTTTCTAAGATTATAAAATCAAGTTTTTACCTATGGCATCACAATTTTTCTTTATATCTTCAAATTTAATAAGTACTTTGTAATGTTTTAATCTAAATGAGATCATGGATATAAAATAAAGTTTACTACAGTCCTGGCACATAAGTAAATTTTCAATAAATGTTGGCCACTATCATTACTGTACTGAGTATACGTTCTTGCGAAAGAATCCTTGAAAATAAAAAAAATCAGTTATAAAACGATAATAAGATTGAGTCTTGAATAGACACTAAATAATAATTGCAGGCAAAAGTATTATTTGTCATACATTTGTCCCTACTTTAAAATTTTTTCTAATTGTAAAATTTGATTGATAAAAAAAGTATAATCCAGAAACAGTGACTTAGTGAAAATGGGATAGGTAGCTCCAGGGGACCATGACTTTACAGAAACATCAAAAAATCAAGGAAGAGCTGTCAGAATCAATTTTTTTAGAACTCTGAAAAAGTCAAAGTTGACAGCAAACAAGTGAATCTTGAATCAAGCAAAGGCAACTTAAAAATGGGAGGAAAACTTTTTGCTGCATTTTTACTTGCCCTTGCCTTATCCTCCTCACTAGCTTGGCAGTAGTCTTGAGATGGTAGCCCCTGTTCCCAGGGAGCGGCCATGGTCCCTGTTTTCAAAGAAAGCAGAGCAGACTTTATTCTCAAAGAATTGAGTTTGCCTGTGCTAACCTGCCCAGGCTACCTGAAAGGCTGACACAAGGCACTTACCTTTATTAACTCAGAACTCAGGGCAGAAAAGCAGGAGACATTCCTTGAAAACACTGTAAGGAAATGAACAACTTGCTCCTACTTAAGGCAAAAGGTTACAGTTGAGGCAAACAATATGGCACTGAAAGCCTGGCATGAAACGCTGGAGTTTCTTTGGGAGATGATAAGGGCATACAGAAAGCCATGCACGAGTCCAAGGCAGGACTCCTGCTCAGAAGATCCTCAGCTTCCCTCTCTGGCTAATCTTTAGGCTCAGTGCAAGCAGCAACTGAAGCCTAAGGCAGTTAGTTATAGACAGCCTGGCCAAGAGGTGAATGAATACCTCAACACAGCCAGTCTGCAAGGATGGAGAGGGTGTTTTTTTGTTTGGTTTGGGTTTGGTTTTGTTTGGGGGGGCTCCTGGCATTGGAGGAAATCTCTGTCAAGACAAACACTAGATGAACACAAGCTAAAGGGACAGAGACTGCAGAGGCCACACATGACAAAATACAGACTTCACAAAAATAGAACAAGTCACTATGCAAACAGCTACAGCCCATGGCAAGCTACAAAAACCAACCTGAGGAGGAGGCATAATCTAATTTTCAGAGTTACCACATTTATAATATTCAAAATGCCCAGTTTTCAACAAAATATGAAGAAAAAATTCAAAATGCCCAGTTTTCAACAAAATAGCATCAGGATTAAAGGAAGACTCATTAACAACTGTGATATTCAGATGACACAACCTTGCTCGCCGAAAATAAAAACTACTTGAAGCACTTACTGATGAAGATCGAGGACTACAGGCTTCAGTATGGATTGTGCCTGAACATGAAGAAAATGAAAATCCTCACAACTGGATCAATAAATAATAAATGGAGGGAAAAAAATGAAGTTGACAATGATTTCATTCTACTTGGATCAACAATCAATGTCCATAGAAGCAGCAGTCAAGAAATCAGCATATTGCATTGGGCAAATCTGCAAAAGACCCCTGTAAAGTTTTAAAAATCAAAGATGTCACTTTGATGACTAAGTTGCGCCTGACCCAAGCCATGTCTTTTCAATTGCCTCATATGCAAGCGAAAGTTGGACAATGAAAAAGGATGACAGAAGACGAATTGATGCATTTGAATTATGGTGTTGGCAAAGAATATTGAATATATTGTGGACTGCCAAAAGAACAAACAAATCAGACTTAGAAGAACTAGAACCAGAATGCTTCTTAGAAGTGAGCATGGCGAGACTTCAGCTCGCTTGCTTTGGACACGTCATCAGGAAAGACCAATCCCTAGGAAAGGACATCATGGTTAGTAAAGTAGAGGGCCAGCGAAAATGAGGGAAACTCTCAATGAGATGCACTGACACAGCAGCCACAACAATGGTTCAAACATACCAAAATCATGAAAGTGGCAACATTTCATTCTGTTATAAGGTCACCAAGTCGACTGCAACTAACAACAAATACGTCCTGTGATTTGGCAGTGGATTCTTAACATGACACCAAAAGCATCACAACAAAAGAAAAAACAGATAAACTGCGCATCATAAAAAAAAGAGAAAAAAAACCTACATTACAGGACATTATCAAGAAAGTGAAAAGACAACCTAAAGAATGGGGGGAAGGATATGCAAATAACGTATCTTATAAGGTCTAGTATCCAGAATATATAAAGACTCCAAGAACTCAACAACCAAAAGACAAACAACCCAATTAAAAAATGGGCAAAGGACTTAACTAGACATTTCTCCAAGAACATATACAAATGGGCAATAACCGCATGAAAAGATGTTAAGCATCATTAGTCATTAGGGAAATGTAAATCAAAACCACAATGAGATAACACTACACCTACTCAGATGGCTGTAACAAACAAAACAGAAAATAACAAGTGCTGGTAAGGGTATGAAGAAATTGGAACCCTCATCCATTGTTGGTGGAAATGTAAAGTAGCGCAGCCACTGTGGAAAACACTTTGGCCGTTCATTAAATAGGTAAACATAATCGCATATGACCCAGCAATTCCACATCTAGGTATTTACTTAAAAGAATTGAGAACCGGTATTCAAACAAATACTTGCGCACAAATGTTCATAGCAGTACTAGTCACAACAGCCAAAAGTTGGAAACAACCCAAATGTCCTTCAACAGATGAATGGATTTAAAAAATGGTATACACATGTCTTAGTTTACTAGTGCTACTGTAATAGAAATACCAAAAAATGGGTGAGTTTAAAGGGCAGAATTTTATTTTCTCACAGTTCAGGAAGCCAGAAGTCCAAATTCAGGGCACTGGCTCTAGGGGAAGGCTCTCTCTGACAGCTATAGGGGAAGATCCTTGTCTCTTTCAGCTTCTGTAGCCCCAGCATTCCTTGGGTCCTTGGTGATCTTCACTTGACATTTATTTTCCCCCATTTATGTTTGCATCTGTGTCTAATCTGCTCTTTTTATAACTCAGAAGTGATTAGGTTTAGGACACACCCTACAGTGATATGGCCTCCTTAACATAACAAAGAAAACCCCCTTCCCAAATGAGATTACATCCACAGATACAGTGGTTAGGATTCCAACACATATTTCTGGAGGACAAAATTCAATCCATAACAACATACAATGGAGTAATTCTCAGCCATAAAAAGGAGTGAAGTACTGATAAATACTATAATGTAGATAAACCTTGAAAACATTTTGCTAAGCGAAAGAAGACAGACACAAAAGCTCACATATTGTATGATTCCATTTATATGAACTATACAGAATAGATAAATCCATAGAGACAGAAAGCAGATTGGTGGTTGCCAGGGGCAGGGAGGAGGGGTAAACAGGGAGTGACTGCTTCATGTGTGTTGAGTTTTCTTTTGGGGTGACGAAAATGTTTTGGAACTAGACAGAGGTGGCAGTTGCACAACATTGTGAATTTTGTAAATGCCACTGAATTGTACACTTTAATATGGTTAATTTCATGTTATGTGAATTTCACCTTACTAAAAAAAAAATTGAAGGAAAAACAGTATGGTTCACTAAAGCAAGAATTTTAATTCTGTCAGTTTTTTCCAGCTATCCTACTACATTATATCCTTTTCAAATACATATTGATATATCATTTAGAAGTATTACTTCATTGTCCATCCTAACAGCCTATTCCATCCAGCTCCCAAATTCTGCCTAATAACTGGATTTTTCTCACCTCTTCCTAAGACAAAATATTTCATTTCCTTAGAAAATTAGCTAAAACAGCAATTACTTCATGTAAAGACATGTCGGCACTTTAAATTGTTTCATGTATATTCTCACTAATTAGTCCATCATTTCAGTACTGTACCTCTTCTACGCTCAGTTCTGCAGCCTTAAATCCTTATGCTCACAACTATAGTAAGTGTTGTGGACTATGTATTTTTAATGTCAAATCTTTTCCTTAAGGAACTTACTATCGATTTGAGAGAAATATAGTAAGACACCTGAAATAACAACAACCCAAGATCAGCTATAATGAAATGTTAAATTGCCTGGCATATACTCAAAGTGCTATAGAAGTTGAGACAGGAATGAATAGTTCTTTGTGTTTTCTAACTGAGGGTCAAGTGACTAAGCTACAAATATCCAATTGTTAAGAACCTTTCTCTTTGGAACCTTTAACAGAACTCCTACTGTGACTCTCCCCTGCCCATTACACCTATAAGTTTCCCTTTGTCCTCCACCTGTTTTTAAAAAAAGAAGAAAAAAAACCGTTGCCTTCAAGCTGATTCCAACTCACAGGCTCTTACATACATCAAGGGCAATGCACCTCCTCACACTGGATTCCTGTATAGTCATATACTTGTATAGTCTTAATATTTGGATAGTCTTAAATATTCCATATATGTTTATCAAGGTATGTACAATTTATAATATAGCTAAAACAAAGGATTTTGCAATCACACAGAGCCTGCATGAGAGATCTGCTCACGTCTCAATACTTTAGTCTCCTCATCTGCAAACTGAGGATAATAGGGGTGCTTTAAGGATTATATCAGACTACTTATGGAAAGCATTTCAAACAAATTAGGTACATTATAAACTATATTGTTGTTATGTGTCGTCAAGTTGGTTCCAACTCATAGCAACCCTATGAACAACAGAACAAAACACTGCCCAGTTCTGTGCCATCCTCACAATTATTGTTATGCTTGAGTTCATTGTTGCAGACACTGTGTCAATCCATCTCGTTGACAGTCTCCCTCTATTTCGCTGACTCTCTACCAAGCATGATGTTTTTCTCCAGGGACTGGTCCCTCTGAAAACATGTCCAAATTATGTGAGACCAAGTCTCATCATCCTCGCTTCTAAGGAGCATTCTGGCTGTACTTCTTCCAACATAGATTTGTTTGTTCCTCTATCAGTCCATGGTATATTCAATATTCTTTGCCAACACCATAATTTAAAGGCATCAATTCTTCTTAG